GAGAGAGAGAGAGAGAGAGAGAGAGAGAGAGTGTGCATGCATTTACATGTGTGTGTAAACCAGGAAAAATGTGTGTGGATGGGCAGGGAGTAGGGAAGGGGGCTTTGAGAATATATATTTATTTTTAAATCCATCAAGTGTATTTAAGTCATCTGGGAAGATGAAGGCAAGAGTGTTTACTACATCACAGTCCTTCCAGGTGGTCTTCCATCAATAGGTTAGAATCATTTCTCTCTATGGTGGCTTTTCAGGCCTTCTTTGGGGCCCCTTCAAGGAACTTTCTAGGGTTAAAGTTCTCCTCAGGGAGGGTAGAGCTGGGTTAGGAAATGCTCTCTAGGGCAGTGGTCGCCAACCGGTGGTCCGCAGACCACTGGTGGTCTGTGAGGTCTGAAAGGTTGGCGACCACTGGTTTAAATAAACCTTTGGAGCAGCGGTCACCAACTGGTGGTCCCCGGACCACTGGTGGTCCATGAGGTCCAAAAGGTTGCCGACCGCTGCTCTAGGGCACTGGCTTATCATGATGGGTAGCAACAATTGCCTCATATATTCTCCGGGCAAAGGAGTTAAGTCCAGAAATGAATTAAGCCAAATCCGTGCACCTGAAGCAGTCCCGAGGCCTCTGCTAAGGGTGGAGATGGTGCTCCAGAGGGCGGGTACTTCACAAGCTGCCTGTCCCAACCTGCATGTGCTAGCCTAACAAAGAACCCAGAGTTCCTTTCACCATTTCCTTTGACGTGTTTGGCATCAAAAGAAAGTACAAAAACAAAAAAATGCAGCCTCTCAAAACGAGGCCATCCGGGACCCCTTAGGTTTACATTTTCAAAGCAGAAGTAGGTGGGAGTCAAGGCCATCTCTTTCTGGTCCAAGGATCCCATGAGATGATTTGGAGGAAGCACTTCAAGGAAGCTGAGTAGAAACAGCTCTCGGATTTCATTAGGCCTCAGCTCCCCTGCATACCGAGCTGCACCACATCAGACCTGCTGGGCCCCTCACCACATATTTCCCCCTTTCTGCACTCGGCTTTCTATATCAGAACCTGCACTGGGATATTGAGAACACTCAGTTGTCGACAGATAAGTAAAAACTGATGTGATGTCACCATAGAGATGAGCAGATATGTGCAGAGTTGCAGACACACTTGTATTTATTCATACAGTATATTATGTGTAGGTGCAGATACTGAGTAATTGAATTTAAAGATTTTTAGCATTTCAGATCTAACTCGGGTTACTTTTCTTCATATCCGTAGGGATTGTGGGTTTATTTGTTTGTTTGTTTTCTGTTGGAGTTTCTAATCAGCATCGTAGAGGATTGCAAGGGTGTCTTCAGATAGTGAATCTGACTCATAAAAGGCATCATCTTGGTAAAGGAGGGTTATAGGCTACAAAATTACTTTCTAACAGTTGTGTAAATTTGGCCAAAACATTATTATCAAATGTCAACAAATAAAGGATAACCTCAGTCTACCCCCTTTTTGCTTTAGTATCCTCCCTCAAACACACACACACACACACACACACATTCTACAAGCACAGGAGAGCACATGAGCCATAGGAAGGTGTGGGGAACTGAGAACCTTCCTCTCCATGGGGCCCACTCTCCACAGTTTTCTCTACAGTTTTATTTGGCTCAGTTGGAAGAGCACATTCCATGCTCTGGGCCAAGAGGAAACAAAAAGAAAGTTACCAAGGGCAGCTAAAGACTTTCCTGTTCAATTCAGAATATGCTGGGTGAACCTGGAAAAGAGTGAGAGATACTGGAGACATCTTTTATTGGAGATAGAGACTCAGCTCCACAATCCTGATGGGGCTTATCTGAGCTCAAAGGAAGAAAAACTGCACTAATTAGTTTTCTATGTTAAAACTGTGCCTTTGCACAACCACTAGTGAGGAAAACAAGGCAGGCCCTGGATTATGGGGTAGTAGCACTGGCCAGTAATTATCAGGAGCATGAGAAAGGCAATTGAAGAAGCAGCAGGACATAATTATGCATTTTTAGAAATAATGTATCAATCTTAAGGAGAAGAGGAACTGAAAACAGAAGGATTAGAACATATACATGCATGTTTTGTGCTGTGTGTGTGTGTGTGTGTGTGTGTGTGTGTGTGTGCAGCAGGAAAAAGATAGATCTCGCATAATTTGTGGTGGTTGATCTCAGCCACAGCCACAAGTAATAATCCAATCAGGAAGACTACCTTTGGAGAAAATTGATTCTAAGGTCTCCATATAAATATTGCCCTATGAGGCATTATTTGCCATTTGTAATTGGCCTTCCTGAGAAGCTGACCCCTGGAATCGAAAACTGAATGTGAATGGTTTTGAATGGAGACTCTGTTGGCATTAATCATCATGATGATGCCATTGGTGGTGCTATTGCTGATTGCAGTGTGTAAAAATGGAAATTAAATGACAGTTTATTTTTAAATCACAGTTTATATTCAAAAACCATACACTGATGTAAAAATCTACAGAAAATCTGAATAGGTAATGATATACAAGACTCAGTTGTTCATTCAGCAAACATTGTAAGAAATGTTTTCTAACTCTTTACTCTCTTCTAGGCCAGGGTCTGAAGATATAGGAGTTACAAGTTAGAACTATCAGCCTCCAAATGAATGTGTCAAGGTTAAGTAACCAGGATGACACAAGTCCTGCTTATTCCTTATATGATGGGTATGGCAAGAACCAACGTAGAAGGTGTCCATCAGAGCAAGCATGTCAAACTTGCGGCCCGCAGTCTGCATGCCTTGTTTATTTGGCCCATGTTAGTCCTTGAGTTTGACATGCTTGGTCTAGCCTTATCCTCAACTTTCTAATTCTACAATCAATTAATTGAGGTGGTTTTTGAACAGGCCACTTAACTCCCGCTTTTAGCAGTGTTAACCATAGAGGTTGGACTACGTGGTCTCAAAATGTCAAAGATATGGGATTCCTCTTTTAAGAATCCTACTGATTCTCATAAGACTAGAGAATAACAATTAGTTTGAGGAGGAGAAAAAAAAAGGATGAAGCCACCACTAATCAAGGGGGCAAAGTTGGGCACGTTTTTGGTTGTTTACATCTGTGTCTTGTTACAGAAGTCTCCATGTCACTGTACGTTGTTATGTCTCCATGCAACCCTGAGTGTTTGTCTGTTTTGGAAAGGTCAGAGGATGTCTGTCCTGAAAATCCCTTTGATCTTCTATCACCATATCCAATCAGCCTGCCTCGTGGCCGAGGCCTTGCGAGTGGAAAGAGTAGGATTTTGCTGATGCCTGTCTGCATTTTGCAATAACTTTCCTAGCAATTTTATTTTCAAATATTACTGGCACATTGCCATTTATCCTGATAGCAAAAGTCACATTGTTCCAACACATAGTCAGCACAAAAAATGCATACACACAAAATTTGCATTCAAAATTTTTGTTTCCCTAGTGTTTTTCCCCTAGGCAGCACAGATTTCATTTCACCATTTTGCCACAACCTTAGCAAGCTTTCAACACAACAGGGTCATTTAGGAATAATTATATGAGCATGTGTGAATGAGCCAAGAGCTCTGATGATACACACATGGTATAAGAACAAGAAAATGCATACTCCACCCATTTGCTTTGTCTAGTATATGCTCGAGGTGAGTGGCATTTTGCCTGTTTGAGTAGGAAGCAAATTGGACTCTTGGTTTTCTAAGAAATGTTTATGGCAGAAAACCTCCCCACCTTCCCCATCTCAAGAAATCAACCTGGACATTTCCTTGGTCTCAGCTCTATTATGAAGAGATCATATATCCCAGCAATTCTCTCTGTTTTTCCCAATTCTCTCTGATTTTTCCTGGTAACTCCTGGGCAGTTTATTTCTAGGGTTTAGTGAATGATGCTGGCCTTGCCTATTTGTTCTCTGTACATCTTCTGGGAAGAAAACAGTTTGGAAAACCAAAGTTGTATAAACTCCTAATCTAGGGTATTTTTTAATGAGGCTAATTTTCTTATAGGCCCGATGGGAGCTGGATGGTTCAAAACAAGAGTGCTACTGCCTGACCGATGTAGCTCAGTGGTTGAGCGTTGACCTATGAACCAGGAGGTCACGGTTTGATTCCCAGTCAGGGCACATGCCTTGGGTTTCAGGCTCCATCCCCTGTGGGGGACGTGCAGGAGGCAGCCCATCAATGATTGTCTTTCATCATTGATGTTTCATTGCTGTTTCTATCGCTCTCTCCTTCTCCCTTCCTCTCTGAAGTAAGAAAAATTTTTTTAAATAAAAAACAAAAACACAAGAGTGCTACTAATTGGGAAGGGACCTTGTAGCACCATTTCATTTTATGAAGATGCCATTTGTTAAGAGGAAGAACCCAGATAAATAGCACGTTGGCTTACCCAATTCAATAATAAATTGTATCCATATGCCCACCATATCATTTGCTCTCTGTATATTATTATTTATTGAAGTTTTCCTGTAACAAAAGCATATGGACTGGATTCTCCACTCAGGAAAGCATTCTTGGGGCATGTCCTTGTGGCAGGAAGAGAGTAGTTTGACCAACCCATGTGATTCTGGGCCTTCATTACCAGCTCCTACAAAATATGGTCACTATTTAGTTGACATCCTTCACCCTGATGATTAAGAATGATGAGCTATGTAGAAAATGGGTGTTTCTACTTAACTTATTCATCTCAGTGTTTCCCAAAGCCTGAGCTAAAGGCCATCTGCATCAAAATTGTGGGGGTGAGGGGGGGGACGTTTGTTTAAATATTCAGATTTATTGGCTCCATTCTAGACCTACCAAATTAGTATTTCTGTAAAGGACAAGGAATCTGAATTTTTACAGAATTCCCCATGTGATTCTTTGTACTTTTTAAAGTTTGAGAAATCCCTCTGTCAAGTGACTGGACAAACTAGAGTTAAAAAAAAAAAGCAAGGGTCTTAATTTAAAGGAAAATGCCAAGAACAGGAGAATTATTTCCAATTCAGTCTCACACCTTCATAAATACTAACTCTTTGCTACTCAAAGTGTGGTCTTGGGCCAGCTATATCAGCATCAACTGGGGACCTATTAGAAATATGGAACCCCAGGCCCTCCATCAGAACTACTAAATCAGAATCTCCATATAACAAGATTTGTTCAGGTTCCATGTATAGGCTATTGCAGTAATTTTGAATCAGTGTGCTGCAAGTATTTCTAAAATACCTGCAATACCTGACTTTTTAGTCAGGGGCACTGACCTCTTTTCCCATAGATTGTCAAATTAAAAAAAAAATGACAACAGCTGACACAATGGCCATCCAGTGGGAATGAATCAAAATTATACCTATTTTTGGTCAGATCAGCAAAAAATATATTTCTGGTGTGCCGCAGAATTTTAGTAATTAGTTTATGTTTTCCATGAGATGAAAAAGGTTGAAAATCACTGGGCTATTGGAATCCAGGTTATGGAATCACTTCGGAACACAGACTCAAACTCAAACCAATCAGATTTTCTGTGGCATGTTCCCCTGTAAAACTGTTGGGTGAAGATCTAAAACAAATCGTGAGACTAAAAACATCATTGGCACCACTTTTATAGCAAACTTTTCACTTCCTATCATTTGCAATAACTGTCTCCAATTAATATTGTTTGTTAAATATTTGTTGGATCCACTTCTCACCTCTCCCATAGGAGTTAGTTTGGGTTTAGTCATGGATATCTCCTCACTCTCTCTTTGTGCTGGAGACAGGTGAGCAATCATTTCCTCCAAGACACTGCATAGATGAGAGACTCTCCATCAACTCTGCTCTCAAAGAAGTTCCAAACTAAAGCAAAAAAAAAATATGATGTGTGGGAAAAACACCCTTCTACAGCTATAGGAATACCATGTCTAGACATATCAGATACCTGACTTTCAGCCCAAGGAAATACCATCTGAGAAATATGCAGTATCACAATCTGGCTATATTTTATGTTCCCTTTCCATCAGTCTGGGCTAAATTGTGTGTGTCACGTTTGGCAAGCATGGGTGAGCTAAATGGAGCTGTTAGCTGTCTTTCAACATATTTATCTGTTTCATTGCCTGCTCTAGGATGTCTTTGTGATCATTATATTGGGATCACAGATAATAGACCATTTGAAATCTTACTTCAATTAAAACTTAATCCTTAGATGTCAATAATAGTGTTTTATACAGAAGGTTACAATAAAAGCTGTGTCTTTTATGCATATCATTAAAACAAACAAAAAAAACCATCAAGAATAAAAAGTGGCCTCAACATTTTCCAAAACAAGAGGCTTGGCACTATGTCATAAACATTTGTCACTGTGGTAAAATTATGGTTATATTTCAATATCCTCTGCAAATTGACAGAGTCACATAAGATTTATGAGAAAAAATCACAATGTATCATCTCACCACTTTACATTCATTCCCCTATTGTATAAGAGAGAATTGATTGCAAAAGATGCTTTTATTTCATAAAATTGAGAATATAATTTGAGATTATAAAGAATTAAGTCTTCTTGTTCATATTGCACACAAGGAAATACAAAAGAAAATATAAAGTAACAGGATGTATTCGTGGCTGGAAGAACTGTTAAAGAAAGACTGGAGTGAAAAAAAAATTTTTAGCAAGCCATGCATTTGGATGAACACTCAATCCATTATAGTGTATCAGGTAAACCATTTCACCAAAATAAATGTTTTGTGAAGGTGATGCTGATGAAATTTCTTCTCCTGCCCATTTTATAGCATCAATAGGATTAAGGAGGCTCTCTATAGCTTATTCATCAATAGAATACTTTTGCTATTTGGGGCATCCATATTTCCTTCCTCTTATTAATAGTGCCCCAGGTTTGGTCTGGGTTTCAGCTCCTCCACCATGAGGTCCAAGTGCTTCAATGCAAGCTAAGCCTCTCTCCAATCCAGGAATTTATATATGGTTAGTTTAAGCCAATCACAGTCCAAGATACCACAGTGTTTGGGTCAATGTGGGCATGTGATAGAACTTTCCCAGAGAGATGTCAGGAGACTATCAGAGTTATTGCTTCTAGGTAAGAACTACTCCAAACTTCTTTGGAAGCTATTTAACCCTTTTCGGTCCAATGTCCAGGCTGACTCCACAGACCAGGCGCTAGGAGCAGGTCCAACGTGGAGCTGAGGTCGACACCGCAAACCGCTGCGATTATATGCATTGTCAGTACGTTCAACATTCAATCCAGTCAATTAATTTGGACCAGACTGTTTGAATTCCAAAAATAAAATTGGACCGCAAAGGGTTAAAGAGAATCTCTCTTTCTGTTAGTCATATACAATGTGTCTGTAAGGTCAAACCTTATTTCACCACGTTGCTTCCATAAAGAACAAAGTCTCCAAAGGGAAGAGGGAGGGATGGAGTGAATTGCAAAAAGAAAACAAGAAATAACTTAAGCAGAGTCCTTATTAATACACTAGAGGCCCGATGCACTAAATTCGTGCAAGAGTAGGCCTTCCTACCCCTGGCTGCTGGCACTGGCTTCCCTCTAGCACCTGGGACCCGGGCTACCCGGGCTTCCCTCGCAGCTCCGGCTTCATCCGGAAGGCCGGTCTAATTAACATATTATGCTTTTATTATTATAGATGCTAGATTACATCTTGCCTCTGAACTTTTCAGTTCATAAAACAATAAATTTCTTTTATCATTTAAGTCAACTAAGTCAACTTGAGTTGCATTTTCTGTTATTTGTAACCACATAGTCCTTATTGTGTGCTTACCATGAGCAAATTACTTTTGCAAGAGCTTTAAATATATTCTTTTATTTCATCTTCATGACAACCCTTTGAGTACCCTTAAGGGGCACTGTTATCGTCTCCATTCTGAAGAGATGAAATTGAGTTACAAATAAATTAAGGAACTTGTAAGAAATTTTGAACAGATGGTAAGAGTTAAAACCAGATTCAAACATAGGCATTCTGAATCCAGATCCATGCCCTTAAACACTTTGCTACCATACCTCATCCATTTCCCAATATCAAGTGAGACTATGGCAAAATATCCTAAATATTTTAGTCCTGAAGATTTCTCTATAGAATCAATATCAGCATATTATATTGATAAATCAGTAATATCCCTTCCTACGTATTTCAGTCCTGCTTGCCTATGGCTAATTTATCCATTCAACATTTATTCAACAAGTATAGTCAATAAGTATATATTGATTGCCAACTAAGTCCTAGGCACTGTTCTAAGTATCAAAGGTATAATTCCTATTGTCATGGAACTTATATCTAATGGTAGAAACAGACAATGAACAAACAAATAATGTCGGGCAGTTGGAAATATTATCAAGAAAATTAAAGTGGGGTAAAAAGATTTTCCAAAGAAGGCTATAAAAATGATGATTACTACAGGAACATTTAATGCAAATTCATCAATAATGAAATTTTCCAAGGGCAAAGAGCTAAAGATGAGAGTTGAGCAGGTGAAGAATCACTTCATTCTTGTCCACAACCAGACATCACAAGTTCAAGCAGATCAGTGACATCCCATCACTTAATATATTTTCTATCTCTGTCATACCCAAGTGTAGATATCAGGAAAACTGGAATTCTCAGAATAGTGTAGAAGAAATTATAAAAGAGTACAGTCAACCAAGGAAGTTAATCATAGTAATATATACAACCCAATGATCAAGGCAAGAGGCCTTCAAATAATGTCATCTTCTCCACAGATTTGGTTAAATTAGGTTTCCAGACATCAGATCATCTACCAGCGCCAAAGGTCAGCAGATGACCTGATCGGGAACTGTTGGAGAAATAGGAGATAACTGGGTATTGATGGATAGGAGTAGCCAGCTAAGTATGTGTTGTCCAGGAAAAATCATAGAAGCAAAGCAACAGCCAACACCAAATGCAGTATGATTTTGAACAAGACAATATATGCAGTTTTATTTCTTTCTATACAACCAGCATCTAAACATAGAAAGTTATTGTCATCAATTGGTTTAAGAGAAATACCTCTGGAAATGTTTTTATTTTGTTTAATTATGAAAGATATGTTGAAAGAAGTGTTCTACAGTGGTTAAAACCATTTATATTAAGCAACAATTAATAAGAGCAAATGAATAAAATATTAGCAAATAGCTTACTAATCAGTAGAACTTACTATATCTTTGAATCTTGTTCTAATTGAATATACTTTAAAAGAGATTAATAATAGTAGTTACTAATAGTTTAGTAAGACTATTGAAAATGAAGCAGGACCAGTTCTCTTCCAGTTGAGCATATATTTGACATACTTGACTATTTAGACCACACATCCATAGTAAGGCACCAAAGCAGCTTCTCCCAACTGCAAAGTACACAAAAAGGACATTGAAATAAGGTTGAAATTAGCAAAATTGACACTCCTAGAAAGTCCGAGTGATCCCACAGACTTCCTATTCACCAAGAAATGAGATTCGGTTGTTACCCCAATCTTTGCCATTTTCTCAATCAGAAATTGGCTTAAGCCACAGTAAAGCATGTTGAGCCATCTACTTAAATTGGATGCCTCACCCATCATAAAAGTTAACCATTTTATGCCTGAGGTTATTTACACTGACCTACATAAGTCATGGGCCTGAATAATAGGTTCCAGGGTTCTCACAACCCAGCTTTAATCTGCCACTGTGTATTAGGAATAGCCTTGCTTACAGAGTGAGTTTGTGGTTTTCTTCCTTTTTATTCCCCATGTAACCTGAAAGCTGTCTTTTAAATCATCAATTTACCACTAATTTTGAAGCAACCAGGCCATAAGGCAGGGGAGAGAAGAAGGCAACATCTTTGGGGAATTTGTAGTTTAATCATAAGTCAGAGAAAGGTGCTCTTTGGTAGGCAAAACATAAAGACCACAGAAGGCGTGGCTCTCCCAACTCAGGGAGGGGAGTGTAGCCAGCAGTAGACTTGGCTCTGAGAGCAAGTCCCATTATGTGCTCACCTCCTGCTTCCCTCTACACACACACACACACACACACACACACACACACACCCCTGGGCTTTGTCTGTGAAGGAGACAGTGCAGACTTGGCCACAAAGGTCCTCCACAAAGTACATAAGAGGTCCCGGGGGCAACGTGAGAGCTGGACCTGCTTCGCCTTTCTATTCTGTCCCATTCCTGCAGCTCCACTCAGGACTCAGAGAAAGCAGACAGCTACATTTTAAATAAGTAACTTGAAGAATTATGTGACATTGAGCCATCCTGCTTTAAAGAAAAAAAAGATAATTCTGTGGATTCTAAAAGCCAACGGTGGATTGTAATATAGGGAATTAGGCACTAAATTTCTATTAATTCATAAAATCTAAAATAGAATCCATTAAGGGTGGTTGGGTATTGGTGCAAAAGGAGATGTAAATTATCCACGATCATGCTTGAAATGCAAAACCTGATCGTGTTTGGCACCAGGCCAGCTACCATTAAAGTAATTATTTTTAATCATCAGCACTTGGTGACATGAATACTCATATTTGTTGATTTACTGAGAAAAGCACTTTATATTGTAAATAAAAAGGATGGAAAAATATACATTAGGATTTTAGAACAAATAATAATGATTATTCTCGCTGTTTGAGTGTTTTTCCTTTTACAAAGCCATTTTAAAAAGTCTGTTTTCCACGTGGCTCAGACATGGGCCTGATGTAAATGTCAGTGGGGGCAGGTGTGAGCTTATTTTTATGTCCTATTTTTTAATCGGATAGTTGGTTCTACTCTTAAATAAGGATTGGGGAAGAGAGAATTTCTGGTGATTCCTTTGGTGGTAAAGCCAAAGGAGACGTAGAACATGGCTGTTAAAATGCACCCTCAGAAGCCTTGGGACAAGTAACTACCTTCCTTCTACTTCAGTTTGCCAGCTTCTGCTGGGAATTGAGAGGTGGCTGGTATTCACCAGGGAAAGGGGGGCCAGAGTGGCATCCCAGGCTGGGCTAAGACACACGCAAAGGAATCTCTAGGGAACAGCCCTGTGTGTGTAGGAGAGAGAAGTGTGGAGTGGAAGGAGATGAGGCTCCAAAGTGGACAGACTGAGGGGCATGGATGACATTTTGCCCTGTCCAAGGGGGTGAAGATAATTTTCTAAATCAGTGGTTTTCAAACATAAGTGCATTTTTTATTTATTTTTAAAAATATATTCTTATTGATTTCAGAGAGGAAGGGAGAGGGAGAGAGAGATAGAAACATCAATGAGAGGGAATTATTGACCGGCTGCTTCCTGCATGCCCCCTACTGGGGATTGAGCCTGCAACCCAGGCATGTGCCCTTGACTGGAATCAAACTTGGGACCCTTTGATCCGCAGGCCGATGCTCTATCCACTGTGCCAAACCGGCTAGGCCCTTGCCGCTAGGGCCATAAGTGCATTTTTTAAAATCATCTAACTTGCTTAAAAATGCAAAACTAGGTCTTACCAGCTCTCCTTCCCCCCAAAATTCATATTTCATTGTCCCAGAGCAGGGTCCAAAATGCTGAAATTTAACCAGCCTGATCTTGTACCACCTCCCACACCCCTGCCCTGACTTTGAGGCTGGTGGTCTCCCATTGGGCAGCCCTATCATGCATGATGAGGAAGCCCTGAGGATTTAGAACAGAGCAGCAGTCACTTTGTTGGCAACCTGGAAACAGACTGCAAGGGGCAAGACTGCAGACAGGCAGAGCTGTTGCTGTAGTAACTTAATTCTGGCTGTAGTGCTGGGGGAGAATCGTGAAAACAATGCTGAGAGACAGTGGACAGGGAAGTCTGAGAGGCTATGAGGGCAGATTACACAGATGTCCAGGAAGGAGTGACCCGAGTACTTCTGGCCCAGGTGGCTGGGGAGGTGACAGGGACGGGTGCTGTCAATTAAGAGGAGGACTTTTCTTTTGTGTTCTGTGGGTGAGTTGGGTTGGGAAGGAACACTTGGGTGAGATTGGGAAGGAGTGCACTTGTTGGATAAACGTCATTTGATTCATCCATGGGACAACTCAATGGGAAGCATGAGGTAGATTGGAAGTTCAGAAAGATGAGGGGAGTTTGAGGAACAAAAAGTTGAGAGTCATCTGTTTAAAATCAGTAAATTAATACATGGGTGTGAACGAGACCACCTGGGAGAAATGTGTGAGAAGATGGGGTTTTTCATACAATAAGAAACGATTGCAAGAAACTCACTAGCTCCTCCTGCCTCAGGAAAACCCTGCTCTTGTGCTTTTCTCTTCTATCACCTTCCCCTCTGTGAGCCCTATGAAGCCTAATATTAAGCCTAATAGTAGCAATATGCAGCACACGGAAATCTGTTCATTT